AGAATGAAGAATATGGAGGAGTCGAACTATGCACTAGCTGCAGTTCATGACATGGAAGGAACCTTTAACTACACTCGGATATCTCCTCTATCTTTAGTGATTGGGTCAGTAGGGGCGGGCCTTCCACCTCTTGGGTTTTCTTGATGGTACAGGAAGAGATAAAAAACTGTTTTCTTGATGGCATAGAGTGAGATAAGAAACTGCAACAAAGTCAAACGCCATTTTTTAAGTTTTATTTAATGAAAGCAAAAAATGTCGAAAATATCATCAAATTTTAGAATAAGTATAGATGTGTTCGAATTGGTCACCTTTGGCACGAATTATGGCCTTCGAACGGCCAATGAAACCGTCACACGCTTCCTGAATATTGCTCTGCGGTATTTTGGCACATTCCCGGCGAAGCGCTTGCTTGAAGTTTGCGTGCCCAAGGGTTTAATACACCCTACAGAATATTTTCGCAATAATATTCTGGAATTTATTCTGATAATCGATTAATATGAGCGGAGAGCGACCATCGGCTGTTATGGCGACCCACACTATCACCATGGTCAGCGCTTGAGTTCTGGTGGCCAACCGAAGGTGCACATTTTCGGCTGACCTCTTTGGCAAGAAAACACGATCATTTTGTTTGTTTACAAACTGCTGGACAACGAATGTTTTCTCATCGGAGAAATTCGGCAGTTCACCCTTTCGGTCAAGCGAAGCTACTCTTTAGCTCTTTTGAGTCTATTTTCTTTCGGTTGCGGTGTAAGTTCTTCCACTTTTTGGAATTTCAATGGCTTTACACCGAGCTCATTTTTCAATATTTGCCCAATGGAATATTGCGATATGTTCAGCTCTCGAGCCATTTTTCGGCCACTGCGACGCGGGTTTCGATCAGGTCGCTTTTTTACTTTTCGAACTATTTCTGCTGATATTTCTGTTTTCTTCCGTCCACTTCCTTGACGTCGGCCTACGCTACCAGTATCACGGTAACGAGCGATTGTACGAGACACAAACGATTTATTCACATTTAAATGCTGGAGTGATCTAACGATAGCCATTTGTGATTTTTCAGCCAAATATAAAGAAATCACACTATCACGCTTGAATTCCATCACGAATAACTTTTTTTCTGGAAAATTCTCACCAAAATGCTTTTGTACGATTTGAAACAATATAATGAGCTGTCACTGGAATAATTTTAACAGCTGTCGGAGGAGTGACTTAGAAATTACAGCAGTCTGAATTTGGTTGGAAACTAGGACATGGCAACGGCTCGTATTTGTCATTCCGTTTGTAACTCCTCGAAATACTCATGTCAGACCCAATACAATTTAAGTCGAATTAGCTATAGAGTTGTAATAACGATATCTTTCGAACAAATTGAGATAGAAGACTAAAATGCGCACATGTGTATTTTATTAGCAGGCAGCTTAAGTTTGAAAATGGGTCATGTTTTTGTATACTCCCCATACCACGGTACCTCTAAATATTCAGTATTTTGATGATTTTTATACCCCCACCATAGTATGTAGGGTATATTAAATTTGTCATTCCATTTGTAAGACCTCGAAATATACATTTTAGACCCCACAAAGTAAATGTATTCTTGAACAGTATAAAATTCTATGTCGATTAGGCGATGTCCGTCCGTCTGTGGAAATCCCTCTAGCTTCCGAACAAAATGAAGTAGGTTGATAAAATTTTACTCAAATGTGTATGTCTGCAGGACTTTTGGTATTGAAAATGGGTCATGTAGATCCACGCTTTGGTGTAGCCCCATAGAATGGTACCTCCCTTTTTTCGGTATTTTGGTGATTTAAGCGACAAATTTGGTATTTGAAGTTCGTAACGGATACTACAGCCTATGACAGAAAATTGTCTGTGCACGTCCACGTCTTCGTATAGCCCCCATATAACGGTACCACCGATATTCGGCATTTTGATGATTTTAGCGAGATTATTCATCGGAATTGTTTCAAATTTGGAGTTTGATGTTCGTAATGAATAATTCAGCCTAACACAGAAAAGTATCTGTGCAGGTCCACGTCTTCGTATATCTCCCATATATCAGTACCTCCCGATATTCGGTATTTTGATAATAAAAATCGTCAGGCTTAGTCCCATTATTGTTGTTTTTATTTATTTTTTTTTTAATTGCCAAAACCGTTCCGAATGGTGGATGATATTGAAAGATCGGCCCGGCCGAACTTACTGTTTTTTTTTTTCTTGTTTATATGTTTCCGTTTTGGTAGATTTTAATGGGTACTACAACCTATGAAAAATTACTTATGCAATTCCACGCCTTTGTATAGCCACCATATAACTATACCTCCCGATATTCGTTATTTTGTTGATATTAGAGACATTATTTACCGCAATTGTTTACAATTTCCTATCTGATGGTCCTAATGAAGTTCCTTCCAAATGGTGGACGGTATAAAAAGTTTGCTTTTTTAATTGTCTCAGATTAAAATTGCTGTATGTGTCTTTACTCGCCCCTGCCGCTCCGTTCCATTAAAAAGTAATTACAATAGGTTGATAATAAATACTGTGACTCTAGAAAAATGCGTTGGAGCTTGTTCCGTGAACTGTTAGGCCAATATCTTTACCATCTTCCATCCGACATCAATATTGCAACTCTCATCAGTTTTTTCATTTAACGTTATTAAAAAAAAAAAACAAAATACAATACCTTAGAGTAAAACACTGCAGGAAAATATATAAATGCTAACTACATTTATTATCTAATCTTGCAAAAAATGCTATTGTAGTTAAATTTTTGTTTATATTTTTTTCGAACTAACATTAATAAACAGATTTTATAAGTACCAAATAATTTTAATTCAGTGAATATACAAAATTTGGGTGAATCATTCTGTTCGTGAATATTCCCACAATGAGGCTTTAAAATGAAAAGTTAAATACATAGAATACATGATTCATTAAAAATGCAAACATTGCTGTTTAGAAATGTTAATTCTACATTCATTTCATTTTCATTTCAAAGCGGTATCGACAGCAACAAAATTCAATAACAAATGTATATAGCCTAAAGTATGAACAGACAAAGCGTGTAAAATTGTTGATTATCTTCTCTAATTTGAATATTGGGTTTAGCTTATTTGATATAATTGCTATAATTTATTCTCTTTAGCTTTGGTTAGGTTTATGTTTTGCACTATAAAAATAAGAGAGAAATCTAAAGAAAGTTAGGAAATTGCAATATTTCTTCTTTACCTTTCCATTAAAAACTCCTTGTTTTCCCCTTAGAAGTTATTATGTTAATTTTGCTCTGCCCTCTGAATTTTGGTCAGCCATAACATAACGATACCGATTTCTTTAGATAAAATGAAATGAAAGAATGGTTTTGGTCAGAAATTTTGACATCATCAAACGACTGAATATATGCGTGATACCTTATACTTTATATCAATATGTCCTACTGGCGTAAGGCTTCGATTTGAACCCAACGGTAGATATTAAGATGTGTCCCAAAAGAACTATTTTCCGGAAAAAATGAAGAAGCGTTTTGGTCAAGTTAATTCTAAAACTTTCGACATCAACATATTAGGATGTGTCCCAAAAGAACCATTTTCCCCAAAAATGAGACGGAAGAAGCGTTTTGGTAAAGTTAATTCTAAAACATCCAAGACCACCTCAAATTTCTCGATTATTTAGTTTATGAATTTATTTTTCTGAAAAATTAACTTATTGTCCTGTGCTTTGAGCTCAATTAGCCAGAGTTTAAAAACCCTAATAGGAATTTCTTCCTTTACTCTATACAGGGTGAGATAAAAAATGCAACAAAGTCAAATGTCATAATTTTTACATTTTTTTTAAATGTTATTGAATGAAAGCCAAAAATGTCGGAAATAGCATCAAATTTTAGAATAAGTTTAGATTTGTTCGAATTGGTCACCTTCAAACGGCCAATGAAACCGTCACCGCCAATCTGCCCGAATGTTGCTCTGCTGTATTTTAGCCCATTCCCGGCGAAGCGCTTGCTTGAGGTGATCAACTCTTTGGTATTTTTTAGAGCCAACCTTGCTTTCCAAAATACTCCAGGCACAAAAGTCCAACGGATTGGTATCCGGAGGAAATGAAGCGAGGAACCTAATTTTGTAACCATTCTTGGTTGGCGCGTGCTGAGTGCGAAACCTTGGACATTCAACAGGACTTAGCACCCTAGTCCTGTTGGAATGTCCAAGATCTGCGGCCAAAATGCTTGCGTGCCCAATGCTTTAATACACCCTCCAGAATATTTTCGCGATAATATTCTGCATTTATTCTGATGACAGGGTCGAGCGACCATCGGCTGTTATGGCGGCCCACACCATCACCATGGCCGGCGCTTGAGTTCTGGTGGCCAACTGAAGGTGCACATTTTCAACTGACCTTTTTGGCAAGTAAACACGATCATTTTGTTTGTTTCCAACCTCCTGGACAACGAATGTTTTCCCATTTCTGATGATGTTGCTGTTTTCTTCGGTGCACTTCCTTGACGTCGGGCTACGCTTCCAGTAAAAAGATTTATTCAAATTTAAATTCTGGTGTGCTCTAACGATGGCCACTTGTGGTTTTCAAGCCAAATATAAAGAAATCACACTATCACGCTTGAATTCCATCACGAAAAACTTTTTTCTGTAAAATTCTCTCTCGTTAATGCTTTTGTACGCTTGTAAATAATATAATGAGCTGTCACTGGAATAATTTTAACAGCTGTCAGACGAGTGGGTTAGAAATGACAGCAGTCTGAAGTTGATTGCAGGTATATTATTTTTTACGAGTAGTTTGCAAATTATTTTTTCTGAAAAAATGACTTATTGTCTTGTGCTTTGAGCTCAATTAAGCCAGAGTTCAAAAAAGCTAATGGGAACTTTTCTGTGATTGTTTTCCTTTTCTCTATTCATCTTAAATTGTATATCAAATAGTCGAACCCTATTTCAGCATTCTTTGTTGTACTTAGAAAAACTGAAAATTAAAACTAATAAAACACCTTATTTTTTTATTTACAGCTCAATTATAATTCCATTGAGTAGAACAGAGAGAGGGCCCACAAACAACCAACAACACCCACCCACAACCCATAACTTTATGAAGCACAAAAAAGACGTTGACACAAAAAGAAACACAATTGCATTAAAAAACTTAAATGGCACAAAACTAACTTTGAAATTGTTGCAGCACAACAACACCGTCTGAAAATTAAAACAAAAATTACAACCGGAAAATGTTTTTGTTTCTGGCAAACGGGAAGAACCAACACAAAGACAAACTACTAAATGCAAAACAACCCACCTATACTAAACAACAAAAATGTTATTTCTTCGTACTGGCATTTTTTTGTATTTTGTATGTAACCATTTAACAAAAAAACAAAAACTTAAACAAACCAACCAGAACCAACTATTTAAACTTATTATCCTAAATTATTTTTTACATTTAAATTATATAAATAAAAAAATTATTATGTGTACAATAAAATTTAATATTGATAATATACAACAAAAATAAACAAAAAATAATATACATATACAAAAACAATGACATATTGATACAATAGGCTGGATGGCCGGTTTCATTTATCAGCTCGCTTATTGCTCGCAAATTATATACTGAGGCATCTAGGTTTTTGTTTTGGTTTTGGATGAATCTGCACATTCTGGAATTATTCAAAATCACAAACCATTGGCACTTACACTGAGTTGTCTAAAAAATCCTTGTAACATCTAAATGCACTCGATAAGCGTGTTGATGTCAAATAAAACATGCCTCTTTTATACATTTAAATTTATATACATGACACTTTGAAATTAGCTACAAAAATATAACAAAATATGTACATGAAGAAGAAACAATTATATACAAACATATTGTAATACATACAAAAAATTTCATATATATGCATACAAGTTACGAAAGGAATTTATATATTTAGAACATAACCATCTGAAAAACACGCATGCAGTTCAATATTTTCAGTTCAGTATAATTTATTATTTTAACAAGCTATTACTTTTGATTTCCTTTGGCCCTAATGCAATTTTTTATTATACCTTTTTATTTGTTTTTTTTTTGTTATCCTATAAAGATCTTTCGCAGTGCTATTAACATTACTTATACAAGTCCTCTAATTAGTCCTACATCCATCAGGGAAAACATCATTTTCGACATATAATTAATTAAATTAATACTTCATTCAATTTTATATGCTACAATTTTATTTTAATAACCTTGAAAGTGGGCGATCCTGTTGAACTCCGAATTAAAAAAAAAAAAAACAAGATTTTGTGGCAACATTTCCCTTCAAAGAATGCGGCGGAATTATTGTGCATATCGGAGTCGTATCTGCATGGATTCAATTTAAGCTACCTACCTAACATATTCACAAACTATAGTCTTCCCGCATTGCCCCTTGGTATATGAAGACATATTTTCCTCACAAATAAATAAATGCCATTTATTTTTAAATTCGTAAAACACCACTGGAATTAAGCCTGACTGTTGAAATAAAAAAAAAAATAGCTAACTAACTAACTATGAGAAAATTGCCTTATCAACAATTGATTCATCGAGATCGCCGATGATATTGCATTCATTCTTTGCAGTGATACCTCATATTTGTGTATATAACCTTGATCATCGTTAAATTGTAAAGCAATATCGAAAATGTGTCTGCTCAACGGGTTCCTTCGACTTCTTTGACTCATAACTTTGATGATTATTCCGTTCTTTTTGATGATTTAGAACGCAATCGCTACCGATACATAGCCCAGCGTTATAATTCTCAAATAGATGCAATACTTGCTTCAGTTCCATTAACCCAGTCACATGTAATTTGTTTAAAACCAAGTTTAAAACGCTGATTAACCCGATCTATGCGACGGTACCATTAGGTACCACCGGTGACATGTATTTTCATTAAAGGAATCCGCTGTCCAAAATGTATGAAACTTTTAATAGAGAGATCCAAAGGAAATGTCTCCGCGACTAATGGGTTAAATCGCTAGGCCGTTAGCAACATGTACGGCGACCCTGCTATCTTCCCAAAAAACGATCTTTTACGGTTGTCATAGCGAAGTTATATTATGGATTAGTAATGACTTTCAATGACTTGTAAATTGCGACATGGCCGATTAGTGCTTTGGATTTCTCAACATTGTTCGATAGATAGTTTTAAAGTTTTTTTTTAACGCTACTTACAAGTTATATATGGAAAGACGTTTTTTTTTTTCGGTTTTGGGTCACAAGGTCTCTGCAATGTACTGCAGCCGTATTCCCTTCGCATCCGCAAGGGTGGCAGGCAATACGGTCGATGGATGTTTTTTCGTATTGTGTTGAAGTTTCTTAGCAGAACTCATCTTATTTACCACTACTGGCTGTAAGGTTTTGGAACAAAGGGCCGGCAACCGAATATGATTTTATTCCCTTAGTGGTGATCCTAATATCTAACACATTTTTCGAAAGAAGCTTTTTTAGGAGTGGCTCGTAGCAGTGAAACAGAACTAATACTAACTTTTCGGTTCAGAAAATGTATTTTCCAAGTTTGTTACCTTTGTTTAAAATGTATTTTCTTTAGAAATTTCAGTTTTTATACCCTACAACACTATGTGTTGGGAGTATTATAAGTTTGATTGGACAAAAAATTATGTAACACCTCGAAATATTGGTTTCCCACATAGGAAAGTATTTATGGATCTTCCTATCTCGCCGAGCTGAGTCGATCTAGCTATGTATGTCCGTCCGTCCGTCTGTCCGTCTGTCCATGTTAATTTGTAATCACTCTACAGGTCGCAATTATGGCCCAATCGAAGAGGGAGTTGGCACGCTAGGGCTTGGGGCTGGGCAGAAGCTTTCCAATTTTGATGGTCATCGGATAATATTTAGTGGGTGAAACGGACCATAAAATTTGTTTTAAATAAAAGTCAAATTTTCCATTAAACCGCGAATATTTTTAATCCCGTCGAAATCACAAATAGACGAACAGGTCAATCCTGACCGTTACGTAGATGCCGATAGTAAATATATCGGATATATATAGCGTAATGTATACAATGTGTATATACAAAGGAAGGGGATGTTTGTTAGATTGCTTATATCTCAAAAATGGCTGGACCGATTTTGACAAATTTTGTCAATTTTGTTTTTTTGTCAATTCTTGGCATAAAAGTATAAAATCTAAAGAAAGTCGCATAAAAATACGCCTATGATGATGTTAATATTGATCCTATCCGATCCTCACGAGAAGGGTAGGGTTAGGCTCAGAAGGGCTAGGCCTATTGTTTTCAAAGATGTCCGCAATATATTTAGGGATTGAAATGGACCAACAACTAAAAATGTTGCTGATTTTGCAGCCGTTATAAAGGTCATAGATAGAATGGACCACTATTTCTGTCTGAAAAACACCAACATTACTTACAGGCTATATCCGAAATACACAAAAGGCGAACTTCTGGCTTTTTATGCTGATTTCGTTGACGAATATATATAAATATCGTAGACAAGAATATCATATAGATGAGTCTAAATTTGGAGATACAGGGACCTCTTGCTATCGGAGATGATCACAAAATATTAGGGGTTCAAATGAACCAAAAACTGAAAAAATTTCCTGATCACAAAATTGAAGCCATTCGACACGCCTGAGAAGAGCGTTAATGACAAGTAAGAATTCTAGCATTTTGGATGACCATTAGATTATATTTAGCCGTAAAATGGACCACAACAACTAACAGCACGACGGTGTGCGTAAATATTGGGCAAATGCCTCTGGTCAAAATGCTAAGGGTAATATCTGGGCTGTGCACTGTGACATAATTTCAAAAGCTAAATCTTCCAAAGTGGATTTGGACATAAGAGGGCTTCTAACATGTTGTAGGGTATCACATGGTCGGCCCCGCACGACTATAGCCTTTGCTTACTTGTTTTCTTTCTTCACATGAATGGAAACATGACACATGGTCCTTAATAACGCGAACATTTCTCATCTTATCCTTGCATCCGTCGGTACTCTGACTGCAACGTCTGTATATTTAATAACCCTATATATCTATTAAGCTTCCCACTATCCGCAAGTAACCTGTGCTATCCAAAGGCCGGCTGGTATTTGATTATCATTTTAGATCTTAAAGTAACACTATATTCCTGTCCAAGATCTTAGAGGACTGAAAAAGTAATATTTAATATCCCACCATTGAAGAATAGGCCGGAAATGGGCGGTAGTGACTACAACGCGGTGCATCACAATGCGAGATGATGGGACATACGCTTGTGTATTCGATGAGGATATGATTGTTAGGCTCTAACTGGCAGATTTGTTTGCTATATTGAAATTATTTGAAACGAAAATTGGAAGAACAGAGACTGGGGGTAGCTTTGCCACAACTTGTAGTTATGTCATCTTTTTTCCTTTCAATTGAATCTACAATAATTCTTAATTTGTTGTTGTTAACTACATTATAGTGACTGAGTGTTCGTTCATGAATAGATCATAATCCTTCTGATGTATCATCCTCTAAAATAGCCTTACTGGGAAACATTTCTCGTTTTATTTCTGATTTTTGATATTATGTAGTATGAGATTTATTGAAGTAAAAAATCACTTTTTATTATTTTATTGCATTTAAAGTCTGCTGTAACAACAAACTATATCCTATACTTTATATAAATAAAAACTAATAAAACATTTATTGCAACAATAACACATCCAACAATATACTAATAAATCTGAAAATCTATACCGTCATTTACAATACTAAAGCTATTTTCAAGTACCAAATATCAACAAATAACCGCCAAACCAATCTACTGAGACTATATCTATTGTCCACAAACTATGAATGAAACATATGATTGTAATTGTAATATACCCAACAAACAAACACACAAATTTACACAATATATTTTACAACTATAATATTGAAAACAAATTCTTTACAGTATTTACATAATTTACACAACTCAATGTTGTTATACACTTTAACTTTGTTCCTTTATTTGATAGGCCGTTATATGCTATTTGCTGAAAATGTTTTTTATACCCTCCACCATAGTATGAAGGGTATTCTAAGTTTGTCATTCCGGCTGCACCATCCGGATCGTAATTGAGCCAAAGCTACTCGGGTTTGTCGGGGCAGCTCACGCTCTTAAGTTGCGACGGGAGGGGATGGTCTCCTAGTAAAGTATTCACTCTATATCCTTCAATGACTTCTGAGACCGCATTAGAGTGAATACTATTCAGTCCCGGTATTGAAAATTGGCCATGTAGGTCCAAGTTTTGGTATAGCCCCCATATAACGGTACTTCCCGATATTCGGTATTTTGATGATTTTGGCCACATTATAGGCCGGCATTGTTTCAAATTTATGACAAATATTGCTTATGCTGGTGCACGCCTTCGTATGGCCCCCATATAACGGCACCTCCCGATATTCGGCATTTTGATGATTTTAGCGACATTATTCACCGGAATTGTTTCAAATTTGGTATTTGATGTTGGTAATAGATGCTATAGCCTATGACAGGGGATTGTCTGTGCAGGTCCACGTCTTCGTATAGCCGCCATATAATGGCACCTCCCGATATTCGGCATTTTGATGATTTTAGCGACATTATTCACCGGAATTGTCTCCAATTTGGTATTGGAAGTTCCTAATGGATACTACAGCCTTAGACAGAATGAAAATAAAATGTCTGTGTAGGTCCATGTCTTCGTATACTCCCCATATAACGATACCCCCTGATATTCGGTATTTTGATGATTTTAACTACATTATTCACCGATTTTTTTTAAATTTCGCATATGAATATTGTAACGATTTATGACAAAAGTAACCTATGCATGTCCATAGGGCGTCGTAGAGACCCTAATATAACAGCTACATTCGGTTATTTTAAGATGTTAACAGAATTTTTAACGGGTTTTTAATGTTTTTGAGAATTTCCAAATTCGTTCCAAATGGTGGAGGGTATTCAAAGTTCGGCCCGGGCGAACTTACTGCTTTTTTATTTGTTACTTTTTAGAAATGTCATCTCTGATTATCAGTTAAAAAAAGTTGAATTAAGAAAATATTTTCTGTATATATTTTGATTTTTCTTTTAATATGGGAGACCTATATTTTGATTTGTGATTTTAAGTATTTCATGGTTTCAATAGAATCATTTACCCAATCGAATGTGAAAGGTTGGGTATTTCATATGAGTTTCTTTTTCTGCTCATAGTAATTTTACATGGTTCACACTTCAATACCAGTATTCAACTCCTAAAAATGTTTTGCAAATTATACAACTATTATATTAGAGGAACATTCATAAAATAATTTTATATAACATATACACAGTACTGTTTTTTAACTGAATTTACACTGAACTTAACAAAACAAACAAAAAACAATGACACTGAAAATGAAAGTATTTCCTATACATATTTATTGACAAAAAAAATTATACACAAAAACAAAAAAACCATCAACACAATGTTTAATGTTGGTGATCTTCTTATCCCGCCCCAAATTGACATATGTATTCACTTTTTAAGACGTTTAAATAATAAAAAAAACACACACAACAAATCTAGCTATAATAAATGTTTGTAAACATATTTACTCTTTATATACACATATATACTATATACACAAAAACAAAATCCAACAAAAACAATAACAAAATATTTTTATATTTATAAAAAAAAACAAAAGTAATCAACAAAAATCGCAAGTAAATTTAATAAGTATTGAACAAATTCGCAAAAAGTATTTACAAGATTGTCTCACAATTTACACAAACATACATACATGCTCTGTTTATTGAAATTCATTATTGCCTGCTTGTATCCAGTAAGGAAAAAAATCGAAATCAAGAAATGTGCTAGCGATCATGGCCCCTTGTGTGTAAATAAGAGATGTTGGGGAATTCACCAAAGATTTCAGTATGCAAAATGTCTACGGGAATTTTTTCGTAGTAATTTACATTCATAAAAAGGAAGACAAACTAAATAATGATAAACAACATGGTTTGTTAGCTATGCCTTGGATATCCCGTTTAGTTTTGTTGACGCAATCAAAATATTATTATTATTTTGTAGCAGAATGTATATTAAATACATGGGTGACTTATCACGAGGCCGTGTTTTCGTGTCGTTGAACCTACTTGAGTCTTCTGGCAGTTGAAGGATGCTTAATGGATTCGCGTCGGCGAAGAGGATTTGATCTTCTATACTTTATTATCTATTAGTCTCCGTCTTCTATGAAAAAACATTAAAATTGGATAACAAATCGACTGTTTCCGTCCCCTCTTCCCTTGACAATAAGTGGAACGTTTAGAAAATTCCGCTCATTTTTACTCATTTGGCTTGGTTCAAGGGCGTCAGTCCTAGGATGAAAGATATGAAATGGTTTATATAGAGAAGTCTCAAGGGAATCTGCCAAACCAACCCTAGATGATGGTTGGAACCTTTGTCTGAGAAGAACGTTAGAATTTGTGTCTCGTAATCTACCATCTGGACATCTGTATAGTAGGTGTTTTATTCGTCTCTACAATTTCTTCATCATCTACAGTAGTCAGGAACACAGTTATCCCATATCGAGGTCAGATATTTGGTACGGCTGTGCAAGTCAGCATGCCCAACGCGATTCTTAGATTAGACCTACTATGTGATATATAGAAGGAAGCTTGTCATTCTATTCGAGCTTACCGGCCAACAGCCTTAGAGATCTTGCAAGCGGCTTCGAAGTGCCATGAGAGACTTTTTGAAGCAGCCGACATATTGGTGGTTTAACAACCTCATCCATCGTTAGATCCTGGAACCCAACAAAGCCTACTAAAAGAACTCCATGGATGGCGTTGTTTTTGCAGTCAAGAATGGAACTCGATTTAATTGCACTTGGCTTGACAGGTTTTAGCGCCGTCTGACTATCGACATAAATTTTCACTGGTCATGTTATGCTTTGCTATTGCAGAGTTCTATTACGACTTCGATTGATATCTTGATTATAATTACGTTAGGGCAGAATACGTCAGCACCGGTGTCCTTATCCATCTTGGAACCGTGTGTTGAAATGACTAGACCATTTAGAGGAGGTTCGCCGTCAGGCCAGGCGTTCCTATGAGGTATCGCACTATTACATTTACCTAGGATATTCCGATTTATATCGGGATGCTCAGGATGACCAAACCGTGAAGAGTGTCATTCTTCTGATTCCCGATGTCTCAGCGTACTGCTTTGAATTCAGTTTTAATAATATCCAGTGGCTGGAAGTTCAGCAACGCATTCAATGCAGATTGGGGATAGCTCTTAGGAGACCAGTTGTCAGTAAGGTTGCGGATCTTTGCACTGTGATTAAATTAGGACATGAGCAAATTTATTCGAAATTAACTTGTAGGATTTGCAATGAACGGTGAACCTGACATTCCAGCTCGAAGCGATCACATTTATCTTTATATTCAATCAGGTTTCTACTCTGATAGCATAGGTGGTCTTTCGACAAAACGGTTTGTTTGCTAGGAAGTAATCTATAATTTAAAAGTTGGTGTTCATTTCCAAGTGAGAAGGTGTTGATTCTCGATTACCGTTTGTAGCTTCAAAAAGGCATTGATTTTCCTTTTCGTGAGAAAACACTCCACACTTGATATGCCCCTCCCGACATATAATCCATTGCCTTGTTTGAAAAATTTTAATAACTGTAATTAAGTTTTCGATTTCTTGGATCCACTTTATAACATATTCTTTATGATGCTTGTCTTAGAGGTTGTCAAATAAGATTAGAAAAACGATTTTTATACGCATAAAAAATTGTATTTGATGAAGACATTTCATCATTCCCTTTCCTCTTAAATATATAGTAAAATTCAAAATATTTATAATATTCGCAAACTGCTATGATCGTTGCCCAGGAAAATGTGAAAATAAAGGAAGGAAGAAGACTAAAATCGAAAGAAATACTGCAAATATTTTTACACATCTGCCCGCCCTTATACACATAATCATACAACTATACATATACATAAATTTGTTACTGTTAATTTAAACTATTGTTGCTATACAAATTACATGAGAACAATATATTACTTACAATACCACACAAACTATACAAAATAGTAAAAACAATAAAACATATTTTTGACATTATTACTATTGACATTCTATTGCAAATAATTATCAAAATAAATAAGCATAAAATTTATTCAATTAGCATAATTTAAACAGTAATATAGAGCTATTAATTATTTAATTGAGAGAAAACACACCAACACATAGATCTAAAAATCCCAGCTCTTGGTGTCTAACTAAAATAATTTAATGGTCCGTGAAAAAGTTTTCCACTTATTTGTTTTAGTTTTGAAAATAATTATTATGATTACTACTATTATGACTATAATTATTATTTGTTGTTATAATTAGAAAATTCGTTCTTCAATTACGGAAAAAATCGACAAAAAAGGTACCCCCAGTAATGATGTATTTATTGCTGAATATCATAATTATTATTATACATACATATACACATAAAATTATTATTAATCATCATTGTTAATTAGCATAAAATTCATAATGTAAATTTAATTTAAAAAAATCCTAATGCCCATTGAAAGAAGTATGTATACCCATACGTTATTATTATTAAATCTGACATATATATTTAGACAAGCAATGATTATCGTGCATTGTACGTATATATTACAAAATAAAAAAACACATATTTACTTAAACCTTATATTATGAAAGGAACTACATACATTTTCAATAAACCTTAAAAAAGAACCTAAAATTTAAATGGATCCAATTTGTTATTCTCAGATTTAAGTCATATTCAAGGTAAGTACAAATTTTACCTTTGCACATATCGAGACAATGTGAAGCAACTTTAGGGGGTTGATTAATCGGAAAGCTGCTGAAACAATAAGATCTTCGTCATTCAGATCAATAATGAACATTTTCCATAATTGTCCAATGGAGGATCAGATGATTATAGCAGTTATTTAACTAAATCCATAGGAAATATATTTAGTGTGCAGTGGTGTGCCAGAGCGGACTGTTCTTGGTCCTTTATTTTTTCATCATGTATGTTAATGATTCGCGGTGGTGTCTTAATGATAATTGTATGTCGTTTGCATTTGCTGATGACATTCAGATTTTTTTATATAATATGATGGTTACTCCTGTAACGGTCTCTCAATAAATACTTAAAAATCTAAAGTTATGTTTTTTGGGAACTTGCTAGAGGATTCAATAAACATTTCTATTTATAGCACGTATATATGTATATGTTGTAAGCTCGATTAATAGTCTTGGTCTGTTTATTGAATCTGGTTTGGTGTTCGATGTGCATTTGAATTCTTTAGTGTTCAATGTAAACTTCATTTTAAAGAAGTTGAACTATTTGGAAATATAATTTTGCCTAAGAAAATTAGAATTCCGTTTTTCCATGGTACAATAAAATAGTAAGATAGAGTTAACAATGACTTCTGCCAAATTTGCGCATTGAAGCTATTGGCCAGTTTTGCCATGTAATTGAAAGATCGAACTATTTAGATCATATTTTTTAAAGGCATTTATGAGGAAAATATTGAATAAATGAAAACAACTTGTTTACATGCAAAATAGACGAGAAGCGGCCTTAGCTTCAGGGCTGTAGTTTTAGGTAGTGGGAAGCTGTTCTACCTGTTATTGTCCCATGAGTTTGCGTATGTCTTGATTATGCCTCACTTTTTATATATTATTGAAATTTTTGGTGGACGTAGTGGTTTAGTTCGGCCAGACTTTTCAAATTTCAATAACTTAAATTGAACAATGTGGATACAATAAACAAAGAATCAAACCTCAGGAGATTACGAAACATGTGGCAGTAAAATTCATCTGTCAAATTTATTGGAAATCTCCCATACACCAGTTCCATTCAATTTCAAATTTAAACCTCTTAAATCTGTAATATGCATCCAATAATGATCATTTCAATACATTTTATTTGCCATTCCAACACCTAGAGATATTCGTAGTAGACCCCATAAATTGTACATATTCAGTCAAATTAAACAACAAAAATGGTATTACGGTAAGGCATAGGAGCGACAACGACAGTTTAAAAAAACACTTCCTTGTTTTTGACAAAAAAAAAAAAAAAACAAGTAAAAAACATTAATTTCGGCCGGGCTAAACTTTTAATACCTTCCACTTTAGGGTAAAAGAAACATTAGAAGAAATGTGGCAAAAACCATTAAAATGCTGAATATCGGGAGGTACCGTTATATGGGGGCTATACCAAAACGTGGACCTATAATTACAATGTTTCGCCACACGAACTAGGACCCATTATGACCCACAAATACCAATTTTTAGACAAATCAGTGAAAAAATGTGGCAAAAACCATCAAAATACCGAATGTCGGGAGGTACCGTTATATGGGGGCTATACCAAATCACGGACCCATAAATGCAATGTTTCGCCACCGGAGCTGGAACCCATTATGACCAACAAATACCAATTTTCAGACAAATCCGTGAAAAAATGTTGCAAAAATCATCAAATTACCGAATATCGGGAGGTACCGTTATATGGGGGCTATACCAAATCATGGACCCATACATGCAATGTTTCGCCACCGGAGCTGGAAACCATTATGACCCACAAATACCAATTTTTAGACAAATCCGTGAAAAAATGTGGCAAAAAAAAACTAAAATACCGAATATCGGGAGGTACCATTATATGGGGACTATACCAGAACGTGGACCGATATATCTCATTTTCAATACCAACCATCCTAGACACAATGCAAATAGCTCTGCTAAATTTTGGCGCTCTACGTCAAATAATGTGGGCTGTATTGTGATTTCAACAGACAGACAGACGGACATCGTTAAATCGACTTAGAATTTTATGCTGATTATGAATATATATACCTTTCCAAGGTGGAGGGTATAAAAATTGTTTGCAGCGACGAGTGTTAAGACAGCAAAAAACATATTTGCATTGCCTGAGTTAAAGTAAGTACATATTTTAATTAAAATATGTACATAATGATTTTTTTTAGATTTTTAAATTACTTCAGAATTTACAGGGACCGCTTTCAGCATGTGCTAATAGACATTTCGCCAAGCTCTTCAATTTTTTTGATTTTTTTGTGCTAGGTATTTTTCTCTTATTCCGGGAAACTATTGATATCTATTTTCTTGGGGAAAGGACCCGGGACCCCAGATTTTTTGACCTGAAAGTTCGGGTTGAAGATCCGGGCTAGACCCGGATCCACTTATCCAATATAGACCATGGTGGTCACTAGTAGTCACTTGATGGAGTTATTTTATTTTTTGTGCTAATATCTTTCTTGAGTCCTGAGATATTCTTGAATCCGGACTTTCGAGTCAAAAATCTGGGAATAATAGTAATAGTTTCCCGAAATCAGGGTAAAAATACCTGCCTCTGGAAAATGTCTCGAAAAATTCGAAGACTTTTTTCTAAACTAGAGTTGTTTCAATTGGCCTTTAGTGGTGGTCTTTAGCGCTAGGATCTTAGTAGATCAGTGTCGGAAATGACTTCAATATTTCCCAATTGTTTTTCTTCTGTTATTTTCATAGTCAAATGTCAAATACAAAATGGGTTAAATAAAAACGTCGACATAAAACAATGTCGTCACAACTTTTTACGGCGACAGATATTCTCTAAAAACGATTTCATGTCGACTGTTATATCGACAATTATAATAGTAACCATTCATTGTTATACCTAATACCGTCGCAAAATCGACTTCATTTTGCGACGACGACGACAACGGTAATAGGTCCGATTATTGATCTGATACGGCCGTTTGAGGGAGTCAATGTAGAGTCTACACTATTTTTTAACATTTAATTAATTTTATAATAATTTTTCACGCATAAAAATGTTTACACACAGGTCCACAATTTGGTACAGCTCCCATAAAAAATATTTAAAGGTTTCTGCACCAATTTGCAACTTGTTCTAATTTCATAGATGTTCTTACAAAGAAGTACTGTATAGATCCAGTATTTGTAATAACTGGTAGCTCCTGATTTTAGGCATTTAGAAGGGTTTCTTCCTCGATAGTGGCACGAGTCTTATTAAGTACTTCAAAAGTTCTGGTTATACATTTTACTCGAAGTGGCTGTAATTGGATATTTACAACTTTGGTGAAAATGGTGAAATTGTAATTCACCTTTCCATGTCATATTGGTTATATTCGGAATAAGCCTTATGTTTCAGTCTCATGCGCAATTTTGAACAAAGTGGTTCGTGTTACCTTACCCAATGCAATGATGCAAATACAAATTTAGTGCACTTTATTATTAAACAAATTGATAAAGCAGTTTGTTAGAATGATGATATTTGGTCAGTGGGTAGGTATATTTTATTACATCTTTATTATAAATACTAAATGTTAATTTTTTCTATTAAAGCCATATTAATAATACATACATTTTTGCATAAAATTTTGGTATAATTTATTTTTTTCTTTATAATATTTCTAAAGACAGTTAATTAGAGTTTCAAACAAACTAACTTGGTTAAGTTTTCAAATACAAAACATTAGTCCCCGAGTAATTAATTTGGAATAAGGCTTCGTTCAATCAAAACGAATTTACTGTTGCCAAATAGGCACTAAAATCATTCGGTGAATCTGTTTGTAAAAACTCAATGCTATTCATACAATTCGGAGGTATGAAAATTATAGAGCCGCTTTTTAATACTAAATTGGAATGTCTCTTAAGTTGTAGAATTCGAGAGCCGCTTAAAACTAATAATATTCCCGGGTGTTGGGGTAATTTTAATGAATACGAAGATGATTGTGTTTCTGGCAAGTTAACGTTAACAACGGCGAAATCTTCAACCGGTGGTGCAAATATTTTTACATTCTCATCAAGAATGGTGGGCTTAAAAAGACGTGTTTCCGCTGCAGATCCTGTGTAATTCAACGATGTTAAAAGTTGTTGAACATCCTTGTATTTGGGTGTTAGACCGGCACGTATAACATTATCGGAGCAAGCCATGCATTCAATACAATCGCCCGATAAATAAGCATGTATTTCATTGGCACCCAAATAGATTGATTCACCTGGTTGCAAATGGATCAAGTTAACAAAGAACAGAGACAGAACACCCACATCATCAGGAAAGTCAGCATTGATTGTCTTGAAAATATCATGTAGATGATATTTTTCGAGAACTGAAAATACATTTGGAAATGGAAGTTAATTACAAAACTAAAGAATGATATTTATTCCTTTCACTCACTGGTCATGTAGTTGTTGGCTATGTCATCAATACATGCAGCAATTACAGACGAATCTGCGGTCATCAATGCTTGGTAGCATTTCTTCAAATCACTGTGTTTTCCATTGCGTAAATTCTCAATGATATCATCTCCACCAAGCAGTTTTTTAAGAGCCGGCAATTCCTGACAGAATTGATATATTTCTTCGTAGGGCCGGAAGCCACACAATGCGGTGAACGGTGTCAGTGCTATGGCCAATTCGGGTTTGTGATTTGGATCTTTATAAATATCTGGTCGTTCTCTATGCAAATGTTTGGCTTCGTCCTGCAAGGGAAAATTAAATGTTGAAACGTTAAATGAATTTTAAATTATGAAAGTGTTAATTGCTTCAATAAGATTGCATAAACTTTTGGGGAAACAATTTCAAATCTTTGGACAATGATAATTTTTTATTAAAAAAATAAATAAATTTATTAGTTATTTTGTTCAGTCTCAGAAGCTAATAGCTATCCTGCAACGGTCTACAAATATAATTGCTATACAACGAAAAAGTATTCGGCCCTGCCAGAAAGAGGACTTGAGAACTGCAATAACCTACCTAAATACATAATCCGCAAAAGACAACTGGCTTGAAAAACGAGGAATTAAATCGGACTGAGACTTGGCATAACAATCTGGTCTGCAAGCATGCTATCAGCAAGCATATCAGCCCGATTTAGTGGCTGATTTCAAGTAGATAGTGTCATTTTTGAACTTATAGTGAAAAGCTGAATCAGACTGCATACACCACGACAACTGCTACAACAACTAAATATCCCGTACAACTATTGTATTGGAATATTAAAAAACAAAACGAGATATTATCCATCTTAGTATATGAAAATAAATAATGAAGAAGACAGTAGCATTAGATTTGGCGCCAAGATGATTTTGTTTCAACATGAAGATATTGCTGAAAAATGGTAATTGGAACTAGAGATCTATTGAAAAAACGACGTTCTTCTTTATATTGTACCTTTTAATTTTGAAAAAATAAAAACATGAAGTAGTCTACAATGATACGACCTGATTTTTATAATCGTGTTTGATTGATTTCAATTATGTGGTATTTCTTATGGTATTTTATCTGTAATGTGTTATCAAAGTATTATTTAAACAAATTGACGTTCGATCGATAAAAAAAGTATGCACTTTACCGGGATATGAATGGTAGGTAGTACGGATATCATTTTAAGCACACCGAACAAACAACTATTTTTCAAACACAGGGTGTATAATTTAATTAGTTTGGATTGCTTATTTTTTTATATGTCAGTTTTTTTTTTCTATCCCTTCGTGTATTTCAGATCCGATGGCATAATTACTGGCAATTGTTTAAAAAAAAAAAAAATGGCTTCTTCTCATTTACTAGTTGAAGTACTGGTAGAGATGTTTTTATACCCTCCGGAATTGTTTCAAATTTGGTATTTGAAGTTCGAAATGGATACTACACCCTAAGGCAGAAAATTGTCTGTGCTGGTCCACGTCATCGTATGGCCCCCATACAACGGTACCTCCCAATATTCGATATTTTGATGATTTTAGCGTCATTCACCGGAGTTGTTTCAAATTACGTATTTAGAGTTCGTAAAGGGAACTACGGTCTGTGACAGAAAATTGTCTGTGCAGGCCACGTCTTCATATAGCCCCCTTATAACGGTACATCCCAATATTCGGTATTTTGATGGTTTTAGCGTCAATATTAGTTTCAAATTACGTATTTAGAGTTCGTAATGGGAATTACAGTCTGTGACAGAAAATTGTCTATGTAGGTCCAGGTCTTCGTATAGGCCCCACATATCATTACCTCCCGGTATTCGGTATTGTGACGATTTAATAGAAATTTTAACGGATTTTATTTTTGAAAGATTTCTAAATCCTTTCCAAAGAGTGGAGGGTCTTCAAAGTTCGGCCCGACCGAACTTACTGCTTTTTAACTATTTTTTTTTCCAATTATTCAAAGGCATTATTTTCATCTGAGAATGTGTCTAAAGGTTTTTTGAGACGAATAATAACAGCGTTTCCTATTAAATGTAAAAAACTCCGAATGGGTTGTAAATGCAGTCTATAATTTATCTCTATTCGAAATTTTTATATACCAATAAAGCGATTTTAGGTCCAAAATTAACATTAACAGTTTTTGTTTTTGCTCTATGCAAAAGATCCTCCATATGTATATGCGTCAATAGTACCTGTGGAATTTTTGAAATAAGCATCACTGGGAATGACCAATTGGAAACATTTTTTGATGATTTTAACCTACAATTTTTCAATTATCTATAGTGGATTTTGGAATACGAATTCTTTTAATAATTCCTGATTAGAATTCTCAAGAAAAATCCGTTTTGTATGAAAATGAGTTTCTTTAAAACACAAGGTCTCTGACCGATGTCCACTACCACGTCAGATTGTTCGAGAAAATGTATGCCCAGAAGAGTTCTGTTGTTGTTGTTGTAGCAGCTCATACATATGTGTACGTTTGGTTTCCATTTTCTAACTCAGTTCAATCCGGTTCTGCCTCTAAGTCCAGTCTCAAAAAGGATGCAACCTGTATGGGTTGAGTCCATAACGAGACTGGAGTTAGGTGAGTAGGCTTGGCTGGGCAGCGAAATAAATGCAGCGTGTCATGTGGGCCTGTGCCACATCCTGGGCAGATGTTCTGCACTTCGCCGTTGATCCGGGCCCAGTAGGAATTTAGGCGGCTGCACCATCCGGATCGTAATTGAGCCAAGACTACTCGGGTTTGTCGGGGCAGCTCTCGTTCTTCAGCTGCGACGGGAGGGGATGGTCTCCTAGCACAGTATTCACTCTATATCCTTCAATGGCTTCTGAGACCGCATTAGAGTGAATACTATTCAGTCCCGCTTGATAGGCCTGTTGATCTAGAGGCTCTCTCTTATACCTCTGTACCTCTCTCTCTAGATCATGAAGGTCTTTCCTAACGTGCCTGGGCGGAGGTTGCCTATCCACAAGATGGTGATTTGGATGGCTTTGTCTATAACACCCAAGCAGGTATTGCATTGACAGCATTTTGTTATGCTGTCGCACCGGTAAGACCTTCGCCTCCTCATGTAGGTGATCGACGGGTGTCATGAGAAGGCACCCTGTTGCGGTTCTAAGGGCGGCATTCTGGCAGGACTGAACATTTTTCCACTGCGTAGCACTGACGTTAGCGGACCACACTGGAGCCGCATAGTTTACCACAGACCGGCCTATCGCGTTGTAAGAGGTCAACAAGGTCTCCTTATCAGCTCCCCAAGTACTGCCGGCCAGAGACTTGAGGACCTTGTTCCTACTTCTAATCTTGTCGCAGATAGCTGTGGTATGCGCGGACGACTTAAAGAGGCTATCGAATGTGACCCCTAATACCTTGGGGTAGTTGGTGGTCGGAATAATAGCACCATCGACCTGCACATTCAAGGATAGCCCCATCTCCGCAGTCCATGTGGTGAAAAGTGTGGCCGTCGACTTAGTGGCGGATATCTTCATATTCCTCGCAGTGAAAAAGGCGGTAAGATCAACAAGGTAAGCGTTCAACCGATCGCAAATGTCATCAATAATGGGTCCGGACGCCACGAGCGTACAATCATCTGCGTACGTAATAATCTCTATGCCGTCTGGAGGGCGTGGAATTTCAGAAAGGTAGAGGTTAAACAGTTCCGGAGATATCACCCCACCTTGGGGAACTCCCTGTTTAACTCTACGGATGCTCGACTTCTTGTTTCTGAATTCCACGTACGACTGGCGTCCACACATGTAGTTTACTATCCAACGTTTCAAACTTGGCCGGAGGGTGGTGCGTTCAATGTCCTCGAACAGTGTGGCATGATTGACTGTATCAAAGGCTTTTGATAAATCAAGTGCCACCATAACTGTTCTATCGCACGGCCTGTTCTGGTTGAGACCTCTACTGACATGTGTGGAAATGGCGTGTAAAGCTGTTGTTGTGCTATGCAATTTTCGGAATCCGTGTTGATGATCGGCTACTGGGAAACACTCTCTTATGCTGGGGAGGAGTAAAGCCTCAAGCGTCTTTGCTACTGATGACAAAAGTGATATCGGCCTGTATGAAACACTTTTGCTGGCATCCTTGCCTGGCTTCAGTAGCGGGACCACCCTGCCCATTTTCCAGGCATCGGGAACTACTAGGGTGGCTAACGACAGATTGAGAAGCTTTGTCAGATACTCAACTCCTGGTTCATCCAGTTGCTTCAACATCACCATTGAGATTCCGTCAGGACCAAGCGCTTTGGATGACTTTGCGCTTCTGATGACCTGTGCAACATCTGCCAACGTAAATTGTGGTGGTACCTCCTCGGCTGGAAGGGATCGTACACGGCGTAGTATCCTTCTCTTCGCCCTGTCACTCTCGGGGTGCTCTACAAATTGCCGGTTAAAATAACACGCGCACCTCTTCGGATCTGTCACTTCTACGCCGTTAAATGAGACAGATGTCCGATCGTCCTTTTTTCCAGGGTTCGAAAGCGACTTAACCGTTGCCCACAATTTACTCGTTCCGGTACCGATGTTGCAATGCTTCAGATGTTCTAGCCACTTTTTCCGCTTATGCTCACCTACTAACCTGTTTACCTCCAGAGTAAGTTCCCTGACTCTGGGGTTATTAGGGTTAGTACGGCGAAGCTCATCTCGCTCGTTTGCTAATCCCGCTGCCTCTGCTGGGAAATTTGGTCTTATTTCAGGTATTCGACCAGCAGGTATATAGCGAGCGGCTGCAGCTTTGATGATGTCCCGGAAACACCTATCTGCTACCTGAACATCAGATGGGTTGGGCAGTTCTCTGAAGCGGCGATTGGTATACTCTCTGAATTCTTGCCAATTAGCTTTCCCGTGGTTAAGGAAAGTGCGGCGTTCAGAGTCGATGAAGTCGGGTGGTCTATTGATGGCGATAATAATGGGGAGGTGGTCTGAGCCTAGAGAAATGACTGATTGCCAAGTTACGTCATTCGTCAGACCTGGGGACACGATGGATATGTCCGGAGAACTGTGGCAGTCTCCCCTTATTCTGGTGGGCGCGTCCTCATTCACTGTGCAAAACGTGGAGCTATCGATTTGCTCAGCCAGCGCCATGCCTCTCTGGTCATTACCTAGGACGGAATGCCATAATTCATGATGGGCATTGAAATCCCCTAGCACCAGACGGTTATTGCCTACCAGTAGTGAACTGATATTAGGCATATAACGTGGGGCACAGCTATTTAACGGCGGAATGTACACGTTGAGCACCTCTACCTCGGCGGTTCCACACTTGACCGCTACCCCCATACATTCCATGTACGGGTCACTAGAGTCAAGCTCAGGCGAGATAGGTCTGTACTGGACAGAGTGGTGCAATAGGAACGCTAATCCTCCACCTCCACCTCTGGAGCGATCCTTCCTTAGTACGTTGTATCCATCACAACTTTGAAGCCTGCAGGTGGTACTCAGCTTCGTCTCCTGGATCGCTGCGACCTTGATGTTCTTCCGACTCATAAAGCTTACAATTTCATTGATCTTACCTCTGAGACCATCACAATTAAATTGGAGAAATGATGCATTGTCCGGAACTTGAACAGCAATGTGTGGCGTCAGCTGCTGCGTAGATTGCTGTTGAGGAGATTGAGGGGGAGTCTCATATTGCGACGACGATGAGGACGCCGAAGATGAAGACTCACTGGGGTCTACATTGACGCAGCAGGAAGCAATGTAGTCCCTATCGCTATACTCCTGTATCCGGTTTAGGCCGGAACAATTCCGGAAATGCACCCACTCCATGCATCCGTTGCATCTCACCGAAACCGATCTGTGGTGGATGCGATTACGACAAACGGAGCAGAACCATGGTCCGGGGTTGGTCTCGATCCCGGCTCGGACCAAGAGAATACGGAGCAAACATTCCGGGTAATGTTGCTCCCACATCAGAAAAATGGACGAACACGAACATGTAGAGTTCTGTTGTTAATTGTTAATGACGATTCTATAGAATTGTTACGAATGGGAATACTTATGATTGTGCTCTCTGTCAGCCTTTCTTTTATGGGAGCGGCAGAAAAATGCATTAGTTGACTATTTTGGTATTTGCTTGTCTAATGAAAATGTATTTTGATGCAATTCTAGAGCTTTGTTGAAAGTACTGGCTTCATATTGAACACCTGAACAAAAAGCAATAACAGGCTTCGGGATCTTTCATCAGATATATTGTTAAATCTGAAATATCGCTACGAAGTCCTCTAAAACTAATTTTTATCTCTTGACGAGCATTAGAAGGGCTAGCTTGGGTATTAGGGAAATTATTTGGTTACACTGGATTTCTGATCGTACTTAAGGTCTCATAGCACTTAAATAATTCATAGAAGTTATGATTTTTTTTTTTGGACAGCTATCAATGAGTAAAATCATCATACCGTTTTGAACTTATCTACCATTTTATAAGACAAATTACATACAAAGTTCCCATTACGAACTCTAAATACATAATTTGAGACTACTCCGGTGAATAATGACGCTATAGATATCGGGAGGTACCGTTATATGGGGGCTATATGAAAACGTGGACCTACATGGCCCATTTACGAACCTACTGGCAAAATAAACATGTGTGCAAAATTTTAGCCCTCTATCTCAATTCGTTCGAAAGATAACGTGATTACAACAGACAGACAGACGGACACCGCTAGATCGACTTAGAATTTTACGCTAATCAAGAATATATATACTTTGTTGGGTCTGACATGAGTATTTCGAGGAGTTACAAATGGAATGACAAAGTTAATATATCTTCCATAGTATGGTGGAGGGTATAAAAAGAAGAGTTATTGATTGACAATTATGGCAAACTATGGAGATTTTTGAGATTTTTCCAGGACTATATTTCAATTTCAAGGCTTTATATTATATATTAAAAACCCTACGATGAATCGAAATAAATCGTTTTAGACAATTTCCGGATACTAAAAACGGAAATTAAAAAATTTTCTGGTGGAAATCTCCACAGAAGTGTATAAAAAATGTCTTCTAAAAAACCCCTTTACTTGTAATACCTATCCTTCACTAAAATTCTTTGCGGAAAATCCAATAGATATGCACAAAAAATTAATAATTTGTTCCGTTACAGACCTATACTTTACCGACACATCTTCAAAATCATTTAGAAAATAAAAATACAACTTTTACTCTCCCGCCTTCACCTCCTAACAACCAAAATAGTTCTATTCTCAAATAGTTTGCTAATCGGCTAAATGTGACAACAATGTTACATGCAATCGATATTCTCAGCATATCCCCCAAACAGCTAAAACAAAAAAAAAATAGTTAATAGACGGCTAAATTGTATTATGACCAACTAAATGCTTTGAATTGTGTAATCTGTTTTTCTATTTGCATTTGTCGATATCTAAATGCGAATAAAAAATAAACAGGAATGATAAATGACTGTTAATTTAATTCATTTTGTACAGAAACAACAAAACGAAGCGCTTACCTTATTGGGGTGCACCTGTATGCTAAGGGCTTTGCGTATACTCAACACCTTGAGCAGATAGGGCAAAGGTTGTTCATATACCCGACCCAATTCTGTGCCCGTTGACTTGAGCAGAGATGGGCCGCTGCAGTGTGTACCCATCCATAGTTCAGCATAGGGAGCTTCCTCATTAACCGCGAAATTGTCATTATTGGCTTTGGCTAATTTTGCCACTTGGGATTGTTTGCCCAATTTTCCCCACTCGTAGTTTTTGATATTGCCCACAAGTTCCATTATTATTTTATTGCACTTGTTTCCTTCCTTCCGCTCCCTAAAACACTTTCACATTAAACTCTCCACAAGTTGTCTGTCTGACGGCTATCGACACCAAAAACAAAACATCAACTAACCAGCCAATCAACCTGCCTTTTCGTGTTGATGTATAATTCTCTACTGTCTATTCGGTTTTGTTTTGAATTTTGTTTGCCACGCAATTTTCAACATTCATTCCAATCACTTGCGCAGGGTCATGCAATGAAGGTCGTAGACAATTAGCTTTCCTTTAGTGTTCTCCACCGTTACCACTACCACCGTCTGCACCTTTCTCTAAACAGTCACGGATCGACTGACTGACTTGATAGGCCGGCCACAAATGTAACTTTGTTATTTCAGAATAGAATTTCTCTTATCGCACAGCAATTTAGAGTTTTATGGTTGGACTTCTTGTTCCCTGCAAGCCGAAACCCACTTATAATCGAAAACAGATTTCTTTCCATAGAACTTTATCATGTTTTTGTTTGCGAGTCTCTACTTGTTGGTTCTTATCAACAAATTCTCCCGTAATTGCAATTTGTTAATTGTTTAGAGAGAGTAATTTCATTTTCCCAATATCATATCTATTTGAATTTTGTTGTTAGACGTATATTTACTGGGTATTTTGTTTTATTCCCTAAATATATAACTTTTCCGCATGAGGTGGGTGAGGAGTGGCTCTTAAGTCTATGAACTCAATAAGGAGTAAGGAGACAATATCTTGACAATGGGAAACCAAAATTAAAGACGTCCCCAACCAAACAAATAGGAAAGGCAAAAAGGAATGAACGATTATCTCTGTTGTTTACGAATGAGACATGAGGAAAACTCAATCAGCTGGAAACAATCATTAAATGAGCCGCGGAACTAGTTGCTAGAATTGCGAAAAATGTTCGTATTAGTTCAAAGGAACTACTCCGTGGAAGGAACGATCAGAACTAGGTGTATCCAGTTTTTTCGTTCATACAACGTTCGGCAGAACGGAAAAGAACGAGTAAGCTTAAAGAAAGGAACTGAAATGAAAACTCTTTCTGTGTGTCATGGCAAGTAATAGGTGTGGCCGGTTACCCTAAAATTTGTAACAACTTGTGAAAATTTTTACTGGTAGTCTTCTTTTAACACAATGGTTCTGCAAAAGAGACAGATTAGAGAAAAATGTTGTCAGTTCTTCTACCTCAATCTTCCAGTCACTTACAACTATTTTTCTTCTCCGTCCAGTGATTTACATTTGAACAATCCAATTAAAAAAAATATTTTTTGGAAATAGAAAGCCTAACTGTTATATATATGAATTGTCTTTCAAATCGCTCTCTTTTGCAGAACTTTTGTGTTAAAAGAAGACTACCAGTTAAAATTTCCACAAATTGTTACAAATTTTAGGGTAACCGGCCACACCTATTATTAGCTTCACACACTTCTAGTAACAATTTGCAACAATCGTTACAAATTTTAGGGAAACTTCATACACCTATTATTCTGAAGTCATTCATATTGGGAATTAAAAAGGGTGTCCCAACTAGAGCTCAATTTTTAAATTTTACGTATAATAAAAAACGTGAAACATTATTATGTTGTTATTATTATTGACAGAATAAGGTTATATATGGAACAAAATTTCGCGCAGATGGTCGCGCGGCTTAGCTGGCATACGCGCGATTTCTTAATGAAATTTTCAATATCCGTTTTGCATAAATGCAGCGTCCAATTTCCTCTTTTAAGGCTTAAGAAAACATTCTCACGATCTTGGTGGACAATTATGATCTTCAAAACAGGAAATGACTGATGCAGCAATCGCATTGTTTCCCTGGCTGTATGACACGTGGCGCCTTATCGAAACCACATGCCCTCCACATTTATTTCAAGAAGAATGATAACCACATTTCACGATACCGAACAGCATTGACTGTTTGCGCTTGTCCTGCCTTATTTTCATTAAAAAGGTCCAATTACTCCCAAGCCCAAAAACCACATCACACACGTTGAGGATGCATTTGCTTCTTGTGAATCATTCGAGGATTTCCCTCACTCCAAATGCGAAATTCTGCCTTTTGATGAAGTCATCAAGATGGAAATGGGACTCGTCACTGAAGATGATTTTATCGGCAAAATTTATATAAAAACGAACTCATTTAATCGAGTAGCGTTCCATTTTTACTAACCTCGTACCTTAACAATTATTCAAATGTCAAACAATGGTACTTCGAATGGCGCCAAATTTAAAAATTGCATTAGAGTTGCGAAACCCTATATTATACACCAACCCACTCAACACACATAAAGTTAAGAATGAAAGAATAAGCAATACTCCGCTAATAAACGAGGCAACAGCTGTTGTTTAGAATAGAATGAAATAGAGATGAATAATACAATGTGGTGAAAATGTTTCGTATTTTTTTATTGTTGCCATACCATTTAAGAGTCTGAATATGGCAACATGTCCAGCGTTGTATGTTTACGGCATACTTCGTATCCGTTACATTTTGAACGAAAAAGCAAATAAATCAACATGCATATACGGTAATGGATTGGGCGGGCTGAATTTAATCAGTTGTTTTAAGACATCCAAAACATGACGCTTGTATATATTTCGTAAATTGTAAGTGCCTAACAGTCGATTCGACAGCATTTGAAAATGTATGTTTAGAATTTTCATATTTTTTGCCAGAAAATTTTTTAAATGTTTTTCTTCGGCCACAAAACAATTGGTTTTCAATCAGTAGTGGGATTCTCAAACTCATTTTTTGAGTTACCGACAAACATCAATAACTTTGAAAACCAAAATTTTGATATAAAAAAGAAGTTAAAGTTGACAACATTAGCAACAATCGGTAGGTTTTAGCGACTACTTTGATTTCGTCGCTAACTTACTGACAAATTTCGATATTTACCGAAATTATTACCATTTTATAACCATAAATTATAACCATTTTAATTTTACCGACTTTTTTCGTTAACACAAATAATGAGTTAGAGAATTCCACTACAGATGATCATTTCAAAATTAGGATCGCCATAACATTAGCAATACAGGGTGAGATGAAAAAACTGCAACCAACTTCAGACTGGTTTTCTCCGATGAGAAAACATTCATTGTCCAGCAGTTTGTAAGCAAACAAACAACCACCAGAATTTAAGCGCCGGCCATGGTGATGGTGTGGGCCGCCATAATAGCCGATGGTCGTTCTCCGCTCGACCAGAATAAATGCCGAATATTATCTCGAAAATATTCTGAAGGGTGTATTAAAGCCTTGGGCACGCAAACATTTTGGCCGCAGACCTTGGAGATTCCAACAGGACTCAGCACCATCGCACTCAGCACACGCCTCCCAAGAATGGTTACAAAATGAGCTTCCTTCATTTCCAGCGTACAATGGCCACCAAAATCTCCGGATACCAATCCGTTGAACTATTGTGTCTGGAGTATTTTGGAAAGCAAGGTTGGCACTAAAAAATACCAAAGTGCCGATCCTCAGCACCATCGCACTCAGCACACGCCTCCCAAGAATGGTTACAAAATGAGTTTCCTTCATTTCCAGCGTACAATGGCCACCAAAATCTCCGGATACCAATCCGTTGAACTATTGTGTCTGGAGTATTTTGGAAAGCAAGGTTGGCACTAAAAAATACCAAAGTGCCGATCACCTCAAGCAAGCGTTTCGCCGGGAATGGACCAAAGTACCGCAGAGCATCATTCGGGTATCGTGTGACGGTAACATTGGCCATAATTCGTGCCAAAGGTGACCAATTCGAACAAATCTAAACTTATTCTAAAATGGTATCATTCATTCAATAACATTTAAAAAAATGTAAAAATGATGGCGTTTGACTATGTTTGACCCTGAAAAAGTGAGAAAAGAAAACAAAGTATATATATTCTTGATCAGCGTAAAATTCTAAGTCGATTTAGCGATGTCCGTCTGTCTGTCTGTCCGTCTGTCTGTCTGTTGTAATCACGCATCTTTCGAATGACTTGAGATAGATGGCTAAAATTTTGCATACATGTTTACTTTTCCAGTAGGCAGGTTAAGTTCGTAAATGGGCCATGTAGGTCCACGTTTTCGTATATCCCCCATATATCAGTACCTCCCTATATTCGGTATTTTCATGATTTTAGCGACATTATTCACCGGAATTGTTTGAAAATTGGTATTTGAAGTTCGTAATGAATACTACAGTCTAAGATAGAAAATTGTCTGTTCAAGTCCATGTCTTCGTAAATCCCCCATATAACGGTACCTCCCGATATTCGGTATTTTAATGGTTTTAACGACATTATTCACGGGAATTGTTTCAAATTTGGTATTTGAAGTTCGTTATAGGAACTACAGTCTGTGACAGAAAATTTTCTGTGCGGGTCCAGGTCTTCGTATAGGCCCCATATATCAGTACCTCCCTATATTCGGTATTTTCATGATTTTAGCGACATTATTCGCCGGAATTGTTTGAAGTTCGTAATGAATACTACAGTCTAAGATAGAAAATTGTCTGTGCAAGTCCATGTCTTCGTATAGCCCCCATATAACGGTACCTCCCGATATTCGGTATTTTGATGATTTTAACGACATTATTCACCGGAATTGTTTCAAAATTGGTATTTGAAGTTCGTAATGAATACTACAGTCTGTGACAGAAAATTGTCTGTGCGGGTCCAGGTCTTCGTATAGGCCCCATATATCAGTACCTCCCCATATTCGGTATTTTGACGATTTTAGGTACAATACCCACCGAAATTGTTTGAAATGTGGATGCTACAGCCTGTGACAGAAAATTGTCTATGCTAGTCCAGGTCTTTGCACAGCTCCAATTTAACGGCACCTCCTTATATACGATATTTTGATGATTTTAGCTACATTATTCACCGTTTATTTCAAGTTTCCACTTTGAATATGGTAATGGCTTATGACAAACAATGCCTATGTATGTCCACGTCGTATAGACCCCAATATAACGGCTATATTCGGTATTTTTAAAATTTTAACAGAATTTTTTAAGGATTTTATTTTTTAAAAATTTCCAAATTCGTTGCAAATGGTGGAGGGTATTAAAAGTTCGGCCCGGTCGAACTTAGTGCTTTTTAACTTGTTATTACATGGCTGCTTGTCCCTTCATTCTTGGCTACCTACTGGCGCATCGATATCTGTGTGTGTGTGTGGGTCGTGTCCCTTATTATTTTACACATTATCACATGGGACAGCGCACAAGATCACTGAATTCTACACATGTGATATTTTATCGCAGCTGGGAAACGGATAATTTGGAATCTTCATTTTTAATTGTTAGAATTTCCCAGCGCCTCAACCGCACTCAAAAGTATGTACAAAGTATTTTGTACACACCCTGTATATGTATATCATCGTCCGATTTGTCTTTTATTGTGTAGTCCATGCGATTGAATTTAGCCTAGGAGCCAGTATGTCAAAGTTGATGGAAATCGGTTCAGATATAGCTATAGCTCCCATCTGATTTGTTATTTTTGTCCCTCACATCGGTAATATGAACTCCAAAACAATGATGTGGTGGTGACAGTTGACGGAGACAGCATGCAAATACCTCTGCTAAACTTTATAGGTTATTGACCTAATAGCCTGTAAAGAGAGCTTCCGATTTAGCGAATGGGAGTTTTGTAAAAATGCACGATTATGGTCCTTAAAATATATGTAAAAATATATTTTGAAATATTTTTTTAAAAAATATATAACAATATCT